AGGTATAGATCGATGTATGCCAGGTTTGGTTGAAATCGGTTCAGATTTATATATAGGTAAATTGTGCACCAAACTCCCAAAATTGATCCGATTGAGACAACATTTTGCACAGAGTATTGAAGTAGGTCTAGATTGATAGGTGTCTAATTTTGTTGGAATTTGTCCAGATTTAGATATAGCTCCCATATATAGTTTCGTCCGATATTGGTCGATTGTTTGCCAAGTTTGGTTGAAATCGGTTCAGATTTAGATATAGCTCCCATATATAGTTTCGTCCGATTTTAGGTAAATTGTTCATCAAACTCCCAATATTGATCCGATTGAGACAAAATTTTGCAAAGAGTATTTAAATAGGTCTAGATTGATATATGACAGGCTTGGTTGAAATCGGTTCAGATTTATATATATAGCTCCCATATATAGTTTCGTCCAATTTATGTAAATGGTGCACCAAACTCCCAATATTGGAGACAAAATTTTGCAAAGAGTATTGAAGTAGGTCTTGATTGATGTATGCCGAGGTTGGTTGAAATCGGTTCAGATTTATATATAGCTCCTATTTATAGTTTCGTCTGATTTTAGGTAAATGGTGCACCAAACTCCCAATATTGGTCGGATTGAAAAAAAATTTGCACAGAGTACTGAATTAGGTCCAGATTGATGTATGCGATGGTTTGTTAGAATCCGTTCAGATTTTTATATAGCTCCCATATATCGTTTCGTCCGATTTTAGGTAAATGGCGCACCGAGGCGTCTATGTTTGCTCTATATTCAAGAAATTTTGCAGCTTGTATTGAATTTGAAATATTGCATAGCGTAGTGGATTGAAGACGTTTTAAGTTTAAATATAGTTTTCCTATATATATTTTCATCCGATTTAATCAAAACGATGTACCAAATAACTGAAGTTTGTCCTCTTAGGACCAATTAGTGCACAACGTACCAAATCGAACCTAGAATAATGTGTATAATGTGGATTTTGTGTCGAGATAAATTTTGGATAGCGCATAGTATTGCACCATACCAAATGGTGGATGGACTACCTAAGGCGTTGACTTTTTCAAAAATTATCTAAGGCGTAGATGTGTGGATTTATGAAATAATATTTTTCAATGACAATCTGGGGCGTAGATTTGTGGATTAATTAAATAATATTTTTTAAGAACTATCTAGGACATAGATTTGTGGATTTTTTAAATTTTTTTTTTTTTAAGCATAATGTTCGGTATTTTTAAAGCCAAAGGACTCTAATTAGGCTTTTCGGTGTTTTAAAGGCTTTCATTATTTTTGCTCAGAACATGATCAATAGATGTTCATGTTTTGACATAGCTCCCAGGTTTTGACATATCTCCTTTAACTTAAAAAAAACGTTGGTGCACAATGTTGAACATTTTTTAAATTTTTCCTACTCCCCTGTCATGTATCAATGGTCTAACCTTTTTATGTTGTTTTAATTCTCTCATCAATATGCAATACTCCCAACTATTAAATATTCACAAAATCGGCAACAACAAAAAACCCAAGGCATGTAATGGAGGCCTATCCTTACAACCCATTATGCATGTTTTCCTTACCCATAAAGAACACGACAACCAAACCTTTTGCTGTTTTTCTTTCATTCTCCTTTCGGTGAGATTTACATATGTACTCTAGATCAGTTTTTTTTTGTTTCATACAATCCCTTTGGCATCCACACACACCCACATCCCTCTAACATTTGTTACTACAACATACGTATGTACATCCCCATCTATGTGTATGTTTCTGTGTCAATACAAAGGATTAGAGCTAAAAGGTTTTTAGGTCTATGCTCGTTGAAAATTCTTTGCACGGATTTAAAGTCACTTACAATATGGTTCAGTTGGATGAGGTGGGTTTTTTTCTGTCGGATTTTTTTCCGGGATTTTGCACTTTGGCCATTGCGCTGCAATAAAAACCAAAGCACTACAGGTAAATAGGGCCGATGGCTGGAGTGAAAAACGAGAGTGTAAATGATTTGCTGTTGCTGATATTGGTGCACTAATGTTCACAAATCCAATGATAGCTGGAAACTGAAAACTTTGAAAAAATAGAAAAAAAAATTGGGCTTTATTGAGGATTTTCACAAAAAATTGAATTAAAAACATTAAATTGGCGTTAGGTTGGATTGAAAGGTATTTAGGATAAGGGTACTGGTTCATAGTTGAAGAGAGTCTTTGGAGACTAACTAAAGGGCATCTGCATAGATGAGCTGAAAGTAGATGTCAGGGAATTTTTTTTAAAGTGGCGGGGGATTCTGGAGCAGCCATGGATTTTTTAATGACTTCATATCAATAAGCGTGGATTTTTAAAGGATATCTTTTAAAGGACCATCAGATCAATAAGCGTGTATTTTTAAAGGATATATTTTCAAGGACCATCAGATCAAAAGGCGTGCATTCTTTAAAGGATCTATTTTCAAGGACCAATAATCTTTTCAGATCAATATGCGGGGATTTTTAAAGGACCATCAAATCAATAAACGAGCATTTTTTAAAGGATATCTTTTCAAGGACCATCAGATCAATAAGCGTGGATTTTTTGAATGACATATTTTCAGAGACCATCAGATCAATAAGCGTGGATTTTGTATAGGATATCTTTTCAAGGACCATCAGATCAATAAGCGTGTATTTTTAAAGGATATTGTTTCATGGATATCAGATCAAAAAGCGTGGATTTTTCAAAGGATATTTTTTCAAGAACCATCAGATCAATAAGCGTGGATTTTTTAAAGGATATTTTTTTCAAGGACCATCAGATCAATAAGCGTGGATTTTTTAAAGGATATTTTTTTCAAGGCCTTAGACAAGGCGTGGATTTTTTAAAGGATATTTTTTTCAAGGCCTTAGACAAGGCGTGGATTTTTTAAGGATATTTTTTTCAAGGACCATCAGATCAATAAGCGTGGATTTTTTAAAGGATATTTTTTTCAAGGACCATCAGATCAATAAGCGTGGATTTTTTAAAGGATATTTTATTCAAGGACCTTCAGATCAATAAGCGTGGATTTTTTAAAGGATATTTTTCAAGGGCCATCAGATCAATAAGCGCGGAGTTTTTAAAGGATATGTTTTTCAATGACCATCAAGTCAATAAGCGTGGATTTTTTAAAGGATATTTTTTCCAGGGCCATCAGATCATTAAGCGTGGATTTTTTAAGGGATATTTTTTTAAGGGCCATCAGATCAATAAGCGTGGATTTTTTAAAGGATATGTTTTTCAATGACCATCAGATCAATAAGCGTGGATTTTTTAAAGGATATTTTTTTCAAGGGCCATCAGATCATTAAGCGTGGATTTTTTAAAGGATATTTTTTCCAGGGCCATCAGATCATTAAGCGTGGATTTTTTAAAGGATATTTTTTTCAAGGGCCACCAGATCAATAAGCGTGGAGTTTTTAAAGGATATTTTTTGCATTGACCATCAGATCAATAAGCGTGGAGTTTTTAAAGGATATTTTTTTCAAGGGCCATAAGATCAATAAGCCTGGATTTTTTAAAGGATATTTTTTTCAAGGACCATCAGATCAATAAGCGTGGATTTTTAAAGGATATTTTTTCATGGACCATCAGATCATAAGCGTGGATTTTTAAAGGATATTTTTTCATGGACCATCAGATCAATAAGCGTGGATTTTTTAAAGGATATTTTTTAGGGACCTCTAGAAGCGTGGATTTTTAAAGGATATTTTTTTCAAGGACCATCAGATCAATAAGCGTGGATTTTTTAAAGGATATTTTTTAAGGACCATCAGATCAATAAGCGTGGATTTTTAAAGGATATTTTTTTTTCAAGGACCATCAGATCAATAAGCGTGGATTTTTAAAGGATACTTTTTTCAAGGACCATCAGATCAATAAGCGTGGATTTTTAAAGGATATTTTTTTCAAGGATTATCAGATCAATAAGTGTGGATTTTTAAAGGATATTTTTTCAAGGACCATCAGATCAATAAGCGTAGATTTTTTAAAGGATATTTTTTCAAGGGCCATCAGATCATTAAGCGTGGATTTTTAAAGGATATTTTTTCCAGGGCCATCAGATCATTAAGCGTGGATTTTTTAAAGGATATTTTTTCCAGGGCCATCAGATCATTAAGCGTGGATTTTTTAAGGGATATTTTTTCAAGGGCCATCAGATCAATAAGCGTGGATTTTTTAAGGGATATCTTTTCAAGGACCATCAGATGACCAAGCGTGGAGTTTTAAAGGATTTTTTTTTCAAGGACCATCAGATCAATAACGTGCATTTTTAAAGGATATCTTTTGAAGGACCACCAGATCAATAAGCGTGGATTTTTTGAAGGATATCTTTTGAGGGACCATCAGATCAATAAGCGTCGATTTCTTAAAGGACCAAATAGCGTGTGGTTTTTAAAGGATTTCCTAGAGGACAGTTTTTCAAGGACCCCAATAAGCGTTGATTTCTTAAAGCATAGTTTTTCAATAACCCCAAATAGCGTGGATTTCTTTAATTGCAGTTTTCCAAGGTTCCCTGTATGCGTGGATTTCAAAAACGATTTTTTTCTTTTTAAGAAATGCTCTTCAAAATATTTTTACATAGGTTTTAAATTGTGGCTCTTTACCTAATTTCCATATATTTTTTTTTAATCTATGTCCCACACAAATACGCAAACATTGTATATACCAACACATGGAGAAAATAGTTTTTTTTTTTCAAAAATCTCTTCACAACATTACCTTGCAACTTTAATGTTCCCAACGAAAAAAAACTACTCTGTGGAAATTTTTCAATTCCCTTTTCAGGTGTTCTTTTCAACACTGATTTGTTGGTCCCATAGAACTGGCAACTGTGTTCGTTGCCTCGTTCGTTTATGTAATTTTTCTTCCTCACCATTAAAAACTATATTTTCTATAGCGTTTTCATTTTTTTCTACTCCAAACATTTTAGTTATACTAGTTCGTTTGTTTGTTCCTCTCTTTTTTTCATATCTATCCCGACAACTTTAATGACAACAATGCTGCTGATGATGATGATGTTACTCGTTCTCTAACTCTCTATGGCTGGCTGATGTCAAATGTGCCATTGTGGGCGTGTGGGTGTGTGTGTGTAAATTCTTTTATGTGGCTTCCGCAGTGCACACAACACTCAGGTGTATCAGGTAACACGTTCCGGACACGAGCATTGTGACGTTACCGAGGGTATCCTGCTGGATATAACACCACTCATCGTTGATGGCAGAAAGTTGGTAACACTGTACGATAAGGACCTAACCGAAGGAGTTAACTTGCTAATTGGTGAGTATAGATTGTTGAAAAGAGAGTACCAAGTAGAAAAAAAACTCATTCATACAGATATACAGTCGAATAGAAAAAATAGTTGTAAAATTTGTTAAACTTAGTAACTAATTCACAGTGGTAATGGTACTTGTTGTTTGCATGAAAGAGGGAATAGAATATAGAAATGCAATAAATAAATAAAAAGTGTAAAAATATAAAACTAGGAAGTGTTGAAAAAAAAGTAGGAAGTGATGGGGAATAAAAAACAGCGGTGTACAAATAAACACAATTATTTGTTTGCATTTTTTTTTTTACTTGAAATGAATTGAATAGAATGACACATAAAGGTAGTTGGTATACATTTTTCTATTAGAGATATTTACTAGCAAGAGTAGAATGAACAAATGAAAACGTCATTACGTTCGACCACGCAGAAAAGTGGAACAAAAAATAAGCGGGAGTGATATAGAAACCATAAACCAATAGGAGCGATATAAAAATCATAAGCCAATATAGGAAACATTCTGGTCATAATGAGGGTAGATCGTACGAAAAACTAAAATATAAAATTACAAATAATTCGTTTGAAAAAAGCGTGCTCAAAACCCCTAAAATATCGAATAATGGGGGTACTACTTTATGGGGGATACTCGGAAACATGAACCAATATTGATATATTTTGGTATGGATATTTTCTACTCAATCAACAATATCAGATTAAAATCAATTTATTGGGAAAACGTAACAAAATACCAAATGCTGGGGGTACCCATCTTTTGTGAAGCAATACTGACTATTTCGGCAAGCCAGATTTACTACCCAATGAGAACTCAAAATATCTGAAATTCAATTTGGTTGAAGCAAGTGCTCAAACTCCCTAAATGACGAACCAGGGCTGCCCAAAAAAGTGACCCAATATTGATAATGTTTGGTAGGAAGATTTGCCAAATTCCCCAAAATACTGAATAATGAGGTGGTAACGCTCTATGGAGGATATCCTCAAAAATATTTAAAATGTGCGCATCTTAATATTGATACCTCAACTATGTTTTAAGGCTATTATTTATTATAGCTTTGTGTGGCCCAAGATTTTGTAAGGCCGCGAAATGTTGGTCCTAGTCCAACTTTTGGTATACCGATCGTCATAACTCGACTACCTGAAGACAATCTAGACATGTGTGTCCGTCTAACCACAGGTATTGGCCAATCAGCACGAAACGTCGGTTCGGTTCAAAGAAGACGCATATTACTTTTGTTAACGATTAGTTAATATTTAGGGCTATCCTCAAAAATGGACAGATATCGATAAGAGATAGCCAATTTTGTCAAACTTGGCCACTTTTCAACCATCTTGTTCGAAATTCGGGTCCTCAAACTCACTTCGTTTTATTTTTATACCTTCTGGCATAAGTTGGAGTGTATATAAAAGTTTTTATTCAGTTTGCAACACATCGATATAATAATCGGATACTCCATAAAGTAAATATATATTCTTGATCAGAATAAATTTATAATATAAATATTTCACGAAAGTTCCTATATTTCTTTCGATTTACACTAAATTGTTGTAAAGTTTCGTTAACATCGGTTCAGATTTAAATATGGCTCCCATATTCATCCGATTGTCTGTAAATGGCGAACTAAACTCCTCCCTGCAAACCATAGCCTGTGGTATGTATCTGTCGGCAAGACCGACATGATACATGTCAACATCGCGAGTATTTTTGACTTTAGTTCAGGTTCAGGCATTCACTTCAGATTATTTAAAACCCTTCACCACTCTGTGGTACAGGGTATTATGTCTTTGTGCATATGTTTGTAACAGGCAAAAGAGTCAAGATAGTCCCATGGTTCCTTTTGAGAATATGCATAGAATCACTTTCTGAGTCGATTTACGTGTATTTTTGTGAACAAAGTACAGGTCGCATTTATGATCTGATTTGAATCATAAATGCGTTCTCTTATTTGGACGAACCCTATTGAAATTGGAGAAAATCGGCTCAGATTTAGATATAGCTCTCACATATAGTTTCGTCCGATTTTTGTGAATGATTCACCAAACTCCCAATATTTGTCCGATTGAGACCAAATTTTGCACAGCGTACTGAATTAGGTCCAGATTGATGTCTGCAAAGTTTTGTTAGAATCGATTGGAATCGTTTAGATATAGCACCCATATATAGTTTCGTCCGATTTTATGTGAATGATGCACCACACTCCCAATATTTGTCCGATTGAGACAAAATTTTGCACAGAGTACTGAATTAGGTCCAGATTGATGTCTGCGAAGTTTTGTTAAAATCGGTTCAGATTTACATATAGCTCCCATATATAGTTCCGTCCGATTTTTTATGAATGATACGGCAAACTCCGAATATTTGTCCGATTTTTTGTGAATGATACACCAAACTCCACATATTTGTCCGATTGGAACGAAATTTCGTAATGTAAATGGTGCACGAAAGGGCCTGTGGTTCTTCGATTTACACGAAATGTGGCAGAGGGTTTTAAATTGAATATGGAGCGATGCCAAAAATCAAATGGTGTATGCAACGGTTGCTCAATGTGTTTATATATAGCTCTATGTGTTTATATATGGCCCCCATACATAATTTTACTCGATTTCATACAAAAGGTACACCAAAGAATCCAAGTCTGCCCGTTTAACATGCAATTTTTCATTGATTTCAGAATGGTATGTGTATGAGGTTTCTTCAATTAGTTCAAATATCGATCTAGATAGCACATTTCGCCCGATTCCAACTCAATGGTCCTCCAAAGATCTTATGTCTGTTCTAACTAAAGGATATTGTAGATATTAACATCTCTAGTATGTACCCAAAGTGGTGAAGGGTGTCATATAGTCGGCCTCTCCGACTTTTGAACATTCCTTACGGGTTAGACTATAACTTCATACAATTGTCTACAATATAAAGCCTTTATATCCCCATATGACTCTCTATTTCTACAGCTAATTGCACTTTTGAATATCCCATTAAAAAATATGTCAATCGAATAAATAAATACAACTACAACAAACTCTCTCACAAATCACAATCAACAATCACTTCACACACACACACACACTCTCATACACTTGTATTCACATCTGATGTGAAAACTAATTTGTTTTACAGTTACCATATAGGGTCCAATTCAGTCATTCATTTTTTTGTTTTCTGTTATTCCCAATACAAATGCCTCTCTTAACCTCTTTTCAGACGACGCTTACAAAACATTTCCCATTGACAGATAACAGTGTTACAACACCGCATAAAACAAGGCAATGACATGACAAACAAAAAAACAACAACTGCAGTTAACGTTTGTCTCCCACATAAATTCAATGTGTGGCGTGGGGGTGGAAGGTTGAGGACGGGAAAAGGATATAGGGGTCGGAGTACGTAGAATAGGTACTAAAGTAGTTCTTTCAGTTACTAACAATTCTCAGTGTTGTCGTTGTCATTCATTAAACGACGACCCCCCAAGTGTGAACGCATTGAATGAATAGTGGCTGGCCTGGTGGTCGGGTGGCGGTAGAAGTGATGGCAGTGGTGTTGGTGTTAGTGCTCATGTTGAATGTTTGTTTTTGCCAGAAGTCGACGTTTACATGCAACGTCTCGTTATCTTTCCCATTCATTGAGTTGAGCCAGGAATTATAGTTAATACAATGTAACACTGTTGTCGTTGGATGTTCGTATGTGTGTGTGTGTGTGTGCGGTATTAGGAGTGTGGAGAGTCTCATTCTAACGAAGGTATACCGGAATTGCTTATGGTTAAAGCAAAACAAACAACAGTCATTTAGAAAGTATATTGGAGCAATGAGAATTGCGTTTTTTGTTCGGCTGTTTGTTTGGTTTCTTTCTCCGTTCCATTCATAAAGTTTTGACTGCGAGATTAGGGAGAATGTCATAGATCATGGAAGTGAATTAAGTGAACATAAAAGTTTGCAAGAAATCATAGAAAGTTGCAAAAGTTCACAGGTTTCTTTAATTTGCTCGATTTTTAAGGCGTACAGGTGATTTATTGTCGAATGGGAATCATATAAAGAAGCTGAACGAATAAATATCGTCCAGACGAAACGGGCGCTTGGTCCAAAGGTGACAGATAAGGCTGGGTTTTTGAAAATTCGTACTAGAACGGTACGAAAGATATTAAATGTGAAACCATTTAAATTTTAAATAAGGGTCATGGAGTGTAAAATATATATAGAAAAGGGTTTTTTGAACTTTCGAACTATAAGTATGCGAAAAGTACTAAAATGTACTAAATCTGGTACAATTTCGTAGAATGTGAATGGATAGAGCTAAAAACTTGAAATTTTAAATACGAATTAAGGTTGAGAAGTATGGTCGAAATCATGTACCCATGTATACGAAAAGTTCTATATGGTAACACATTTGGTACAAATTTTAATTGGAGGTACAAATAGAGCTGGATTCCTGAAATTTAAAATTGAAATTACTGCCAGAGTGTAGGATTGAACATTGACGTAGTTTTGGACATTATGTGTACGAAGAGTACTAAATCGTACTATAATTGATACAATTTGGATTTGGTTGAACCAATAGAGCTGGGATCTTGAAATTTAGAGTTATTATCATTGTTGGGGTGTAGGATTAGGATCATTGTTGTAGGGTTTAAATGAGTAATTAAGAAATTTTTGGAAATTCCTACTAAGTGAACTAAATTTGGTACAAGTTAAATTTTGAGTAAACCGATGTAGGAAGTTTTGGTAATTTGTAATTTGAAATTTTGGGAGAACTGGTGTAGCTGGGATCCTGAAATTTGGAGGTAGGATCATTGTTGGGGATTGTACGATGTTTTGGGAAATTGTACTAAAAGGTACAACATTTTGATTTGGGTGAACCGATAGAGCTGGAATCTTGAAGTTAGGATCACTGTTGGGGTGTAGGATAGGGTTATGTAGAACGTTTTTGGAAATTCGAACTAATGTGTACGAAATGGTACCAAATTTCGAGTTGGAATCTTGACATTTGGAGTTGATGTTGCTAACGAAGTTGCGGGCATATGCTAGTGTTCAAATAATATGCTTCTCCAGTGTTAATTTTCACAGAAGCGCATAAAAGATTACTTAAGACATGCAACAAGTAATAATATCGTCAGGATAGGTCTCCAACACAAAGAACAACATTATGGAAAATGTAAAATTGTTCTTCCGTAAATTCAAGATATTTAGGTCTCATAATACAAGACAATAGTTTGAGGAGTAGAAATTCCTATTTAGAGAAGAAAGTTATTTGCGATTATATTAACTCATTTAGCGCCCTCGTTCTTATAAAAGAACACCTCAACTGCAGTACCCATTCGAGAAATTAACGGTTATATCAGTGAATTTCTCTAAATCAAGTTAATTTATTGTTGTATCTTTTTCTATACTCCCAACTTCATGCCAAACCCAAATTTCACTATGAAATATTTGACTATTAAAAACATATTTATGAACAAATTTGCCAAAGGTCAACAATTTGAGTTATCATGTGATGAATTTGTTGCTGGTACTGGAGATCGAGAAGAAAAACTATAGACCTCTAAAAAATAAACTACAACCTTCATAATTCCGGAATTCCAAGTTACACCATCTAAGAACCCGAAATGTTCAATTACGGAGATGCGACTGAATGCTAAATTATAGAAATTTCGATGCTGGAAACTCCGAAAAAAACATAAAATGTATAAAATTGGGAAGGACTTTTGTATTGATCTCATTTTAAAACATGGACCCACATCAAAAATTTGCTGCCATTATTTTTTGCACTCTTAAAGAACTCGGAATGTCAAATTACATTCAATTCGGCAAAAAATATGCGGCTTGTGAGCTGTACATGTACCGAAAAAGGTATAGTACGTGCAATGCGTAATGCCAAATTCGTTGGAAAATGTGAATATATCCGCCAAAACAACGAAAATTAAGCGGAACCTTTACATTGGATCTTTGTCAAAAAATTGTGTTCAAAATATTTTGAATACTCTAAAATCCTGGAATGACAAATTACACCTACTTTGGTATGAAAATGATGCTACTTCATGATACCCTTCTCCACTTTGGGTGTATTCAACAGATGAATCCTAACATTTTTGAAGGTCAGATATAGAGTTGTTTCTTACAATGGGACAATATTATGTAAATTAATTTAAAGGAAATAGCTATCAGAAGCCCGTTAATTATTTGGAGTCCAATTAACACGAAGTCGGTCGAAAATATATATAGGCTGCAAAATGGAATTACTTTATACTTTGCCCAATTTTGCACGTTGTGCAAAATTATGCGTCAATCTGATAGACATGAAGAGTTTGGTGCACCATTTACTTAAAATCGGATAAAAAAATATACAAACTATATCGAAATCTAAATCGATTTCATCGAAACTTGTCACAGGTTAGGTTATACAAATTTTAGTATGTTTTGTGCATATCGGCCACATTTTCTCGGAGCATCATTTACTTAAAATCGGTAGAAAATATATATGGACGAAAATATATGGGAACAATATCTAAATCTGAACCGGTTTCCTCGAAACTGAGCACACATCATCCTAGACTTAAATCAGTTCGCTATGCCAAATTTCGCGGAAATCGAAAGATATATGGGACATTGGTGCATCATTTACAGTAAATCGGACGAAAATATATATGCGAGCTATATCCAAAACTGTACCGATTTTCACGCTGTGCAAAACATGGTGCAAATCAAAAGATATATAGGGACTTTCATACACTATTTACATTAAATCGGACGAAAATATATATGGAAGCTATATCTAAATCTGAAACGACTTTACGCCATTTCAATAGGATTCGTCCTTGTCAAATTTCATCCAATTCGGATCATAAATGCGACCTGTACTTTATTTACAATTTAACATGGACAGACGGACATGCATAAATCGACTTTAAAAGTGATTCTACGCATATTCTCGTAAGTAATCATGTGTCTATCTCGTTTCCTTTTGCCTATTACAGACATATGCACAAAGACAAAATACCTTGTACCACAGTGTGGTAAAGAGTATTAAAATAGGCCTAAAGATTGAGTCGATTTATGCAGGTGGGCTTGGTCATGTATTTTTTTACAAGTAATATACGTGTCACATTTATGTGGATCCCATAAAGTATGATCCCTAGAATCTGCGAAAATAAATTTAAATATCAAGGAAGCTTCCATATAAAACACACCAAAGGCACTAGGCTTCTCAGACAATTTTTTTTTCAAAATCTCTAAATGTCAAACGATGGGAACCTAAGAACACCTCTTGTATATACCCAAAGTTTTGTAGGATATTATATAGTCAACCCCTTCCGAAGTTTGTTACTCCAGTAATTTTGGTAAAATTATTGCCTGTTCAAGTTCACTGACTTTAGCGAATACTTTACGAATTTATTTTTTTTAATGCCCCACAAAATAAATTCCACACCCTTCCTAAAATGTGTGTTTTTATTTAGCCAACAATTTAAACCCCTTTTGATCACATTCAAATAAATTATGTTTTGCACAAATAAAAGAGAACTGCTGGTGCTTATCTAAATTGTGCAAAGGGATATCAGAACATAATTTATTTTTTATTAAATCCTCGTGCGCCCAACAAAAAATATTCAATTTTTTTTTGTAACAACAATGCCCAAGATTTAACCCAATATGCTATAAAAGCAACAACAACAAAATATTTATATAAAACACTACACTTGACCTTATCTGTGATGAACATATTTATGTTAGCCCCGAAATTCCAAGCCTTGGCATTTACACAAAAAAGGTTAAAGGTTGAGTAGAAAAATTAAAAAAAACACAACTGGTAGTGTCACACACACACCCAAATACCAAAGAGTCCATTCCACAACTTCATGCTATGTCATTTGCATAATTAACCCTATTGTTGTGTATTTTTATTGTAAATTAAGTAATTAAGTACTTCGTTTCGTTGGTGTTGTTATTGGGGTTTTAATGCCAACAAAGAGACAACTTTGGGAATTTTGCTACAGAAATAAAAAACATATCATTGACAAAATTTATATATATTTACTTCTCATTAAATGTTTTAATTTTATGTTTCTTTTTTCTTTTCTATAATTTCATGGTACGTGTTAACCTCTCCAGTGGTCTCTGAACTATGGGGTTCACAGTGTGTCCGTCTCAAGGTCACCACAAAAACCGAAAATTGTGGTGAAGGTGCTGATTGCTCCGGTAAAGGTGTTTGCTATTCGAACAGCGACATGGAAGAGTATGAATGCCAGTGTTGCAGTGGTTTTGCCGGACCACATTGTGAAGAGATTGATGCCTGCACACCGAGTCCGTGTACAAATAATGGCATTTGCGTTGATTTGTCACAAGGTCATGAGGGTAATTCGTATCAATGTTTGTGCCCGTACGGTAAGTAGTTGGCATGTGTTTTCTATAATATTGTTTATATTAAAGCTATTTAAAGAGTTAACACTTATGTGTTTGGATGAGCGAGTGAAAGCATTTTAATGATGTAAAAAATTATACGTGATTTAGAGTCAGTCAGTTCCTTAGGAATTTATTTTCTTTATCGACGGAAATAATTTTGCCTATATAATATACATTTTATAAATAAATCGGTTTCTTTGGTTCAAAATGTATCGCCCTGTACTATAAACTGAGCATTTTTCAATAAAATTCCAGTAGCCTGGAATGCACAATTACAGCCACTATAATGGGAAAGCGTTTATAAAACTTTCAAATACCGATGGATCGGTATTGGGAACCAATATATGAGATTTATTGCTTAATAATAATACCTAATTAAAATAGAACGAATTTTTGTCTAAAAACGTGTCTAAAAGATTCAAAATACAGACTTAAAGTGGGTACCACCGTTTGGGTGACATCCAAAAACGTGGGCCAATTCCATTATATGGGCTGCCCTAAAATGTAGTCCTATGTTTGTGCATAATTTCAATGATCTATTTTCAATATTGCGAGCTCTGGAGCAATCGCTATATGAAGCCATCATAAAAAGTAGACCAATACTGAAAAGTTTTTGTAGAAGGGTTTCCGACCCAGAAGGAACCCAAAATACCAATTTACATCTAATTGGAATTGAAAAACATCCACAAATGCTTCGAAATACCGAATATTAAGGGATGGATCGGTATTGGGAACCAACATATGAAATTTCTTGCTTAATAATAATACCTAATTAAAATTGAACCAATGTTTGTCTAAAAACGTGTCAAAAAGATTCAAAATACAGAGTAAAAGTGGGTACCACCATGTGAGTGGCATCCAAAAACGTGGACAAATTCCATTATATGGGCTGCCCTAAAATTTAGACCTATGTTTGGGTATAATTTCAATGATCTATTTTCAATATTGAGAGCTCTGGGGCAACCGCTATATGAAGCCATCCTAAAAAGTAGACCAATACTGAAAAGTTTTTGCAGAAGGCTTTCCTACCCAGAAGGAACCCAAAATACAATTTACATCTAATTGGAATTGAAAAACATCCACAAATGCTCCGAAATACCGAATATTAAGGGATACCATAATATGGGGGCTACTCTAAACTGTGGACCGATATATCCCATTTGCAATACATCTTATGAGTCCCTACATATCTTTCGATTTGCTCGAAATTTGGCACAGCATACTGATGTGTGCTAAGTTTCGGGAAAACCAGTATCAGATTAAGATATAGCTTACATATATATTTATTATGTCTTTGTCTATGTCTGTCTATTATGTCTTTGTTATGTCTTTGTGCATATGTTTGTAACAGGCAAAAGGAAACGAAATAGACACATGGTTCCTTTTGAGAATATGCATAGAATCACTTTCTGAGTCGATTTATGCATGTCCGTCCGTCCGTATGTCCGTCTGTAGATGTTAAATTGTAAACAAAGTACAGGTCGCATTTATAATCCGATTTGGATGAAACTTGGCACAAGCCACTTATTTGGCCCAAGGACGAACCCTATTGAAATTGGGAAAAATCGGTTCAGATTTAGATATAACTCCCATATATAGTTTCGTCCAATTTAAGGTAAATGGGGCACCAAAGTCCCTCTTTATCTTTCGATTTGCATGAAATTTGGCAAAGAGTACTGAATTAAGTCTAGAATGATGCCTGCCAAGTTTCGTGAAAATCGGTCCAGATTTAGATATAGCTCTCATATATAGTTTCGTCCGATTTAATGCAAATGGGGCACCAAAGTCCCTATATATAACGTACTGAATTGAGCCTAGAATGATGTCTGCCAAGTTTCATGAAAATCGGCCCATATTTAGATATAGCTCCCATATATAGTTTCTTCCGATTGTATGTAAATGGTGCACCAAAGTCCCATATATCTTTCCATTTGCACGAAATTTGGCATGACGTATTGAATTTAGCCTAGAGCAATGTCTGCCAGGTTTCGTGAAAATCGGTTCAGATCTAGATATATATTTTTTCGTCCAATTTAATTTAAATAATCGGACAAATATATATATATATATATATATATGAGCTATATCTAATTCTGAACCGATTTTCACCTTATAATTTGTAAACGCGATACAGGCGAAGTTATAGACCAATCGTCACGAAATTTTGTATTTAGGACTTCCGAGTGCGGAAATTTCGCGCTGATCGCTTTGAAATTTTGCATGAAGTTTTGGTTATGGCCAAGGACGACGCCCATAATTTTCGGCGATCTTGAAAAGCGTACTGAAATTGCTGAAATTTTTTAGATCAAGCGATTTTCTTATCTGAAGCCATAACAAATTACGGGATAAAATATAAACTCCAGGAGTTCGTCATGGAAATACACTACACATCAGCAAAAACAACCGGTTTTTTTTTCATTCAGAGGCCGATGTAGTTTCCATGTGAAAATTCGCATTCTTCGCATATATAATTCCCTTATTATGGTATATATTATAACTAAATGTTAACTGTCCATAACAAACGGATATTCATTAAAATAATATTTTGCACATCTCCTCCCACTTTACTTTAACACATATTTGTAATTATCCGGTGGCCATAAGTTCACGCTGAGCGTCATACAGCGACAAAGAAACCAACGTTTGGCCACAGCCTGTGTTCTTTTTTTACAACACAGAGTGATCATCTCTTTTGCCAGTTGTTTTTTTGTTTCAAGATGAGTTCCTCGTCAAACATCGTGGGTTGTCTTTCCGTTACTGAAGCGCTTGTAGTGTGCAACAAAACGTTTGTTTTTTTAATTTGTTGAGGTTTTGTGTTTATTTGTTTCTATTCAGATTATTTCAATCTGTTTTTTTTTCGATTTTTTCCTTTGGTGAACTTTTCTATCTGTTTGCGTGGTAGTTGCTTACTGTCGTCTATCCTGTTGTGTCGTTATTGTTCGGGTTACTGTTGGAATCTTTTCCAACGGATGTATCCTTTTTCATACTCTGTTGGAGGAACAACATTTCTAGAGAGAGAGAGAGAGAGCACAACAAAGTATACAGATTTGACCTTAATTGAGTTTGGGAGCACAGCTTGAAATTGTTTAACTGTTCGTTTGCTTATTTTGATTTTTTTTTCTATTTTGCATCTCCGGTCCGCTTGTCATTGATGTTCTACGCTTATTACCGGTAGAATCGCTGATGGCAAATTTTATAAATAGTTTATATACGGGCTGTTAATTGTATTAGGATTTTAGGATTTTTATTTCGCTTTCATCTGGAAGGAAACATAAAACAATGGAATGGGCTAGTGGAAATAAGAACAAAACTGCTGCAAGTTTTGAATCTACCAATGATCGTTTTTAAAAAAAAATTTAAGTAAGTAAAGAATGGGTCAGATCAAATTGGTATGGATACATATTGAAAATGTTAACTTCGAGTGGAATTCTTATAATTAGCATATCGCACAATATCTGTAGGTCCTCCCACCCTCCAATTAAAATTACAGCTACTTAAGTGCTTTCCAAATATTACAAGACCATTTTGGTGGAAGAATTCGGATACAAATTTTAAAAACACTAAGTGACAAACTTAATATACTACTTTTATAGCCTCATGACGTCTACGTTTATAGTTCTTCACAACAAAATCCTCACTTATAGTTCTCTAAAACATTTTCAAAACTCCACCCGCATAGTCCTGACAGTCTATCAAAAACATTTTTAAAAATCCTCTCATACCGTCCTAAAAAATATACAGGCATATTCAAAACTTATAGTCCTGACAGTACTTCAAGAAAAATCCACGCTTATAGTCCTTGAAGAAAAATCCACCCTTTCTTTAAAAAATCCACGCCTTGTATTGACTGGTCCTTTTCTTTAAAAAATCCACGCTTATAGACCTTTGGGTCTTTAAAAAATCCACGCTTATAGTCCTTGAAGAAAAATCCACACTTTCTTTAAAAAATCCACGCTTATAGTCCTTGAAGAAAAATCCACCCTTTCTTTAAAAAATCCACGCTTATAGTCCTTGAAGAAAAATCCACACTTTCTTTAAAAAATCCACGCTCATAGTCCTGACATCCCTTCAAGAATTTTCTTTAAAAAACCACGCTTATAGTCCTGACATCCCTTCAAGAATTTTCTTTAAAAAACCACGCTTATAGTCCTGACATCCCTTCAAGAATTTTCTTTAAAAAACCACGCTTATAGTCCTGACATCCCTTCAAGAATTTTCTTTAAAAAACCACGCTTATAGTCCTGACGTCCCTTCAAGAATTTTCTTTAAAAAAACACGCTTATAGTCCTGACATCCCTTCAAGAATTTTCTTTAAAAAATCCACGCTTATAGTCCTGACAGTCCTCAAATAATTTTCT